TCAAAAACAGCTTCTTTTCAGAGCATGCAGATTTGTAGCATTTTCCTTTAAATGTTAATGAGCTCTGCTGCCCCCGCCCCTTTCTTCCGAGCCGCTCTCAGAGAGACTGTTTACTTTAGCCGCATTCATCGTGAAACTTGCTAATCAGCACATTATTAGGAAAGGCGATTTGCAAAGATTCGTTAAAAAAATCTTATACTCACTTCTTCTGTAGGTGAAGCTGGATCACGAATGATTCGCGCTAACATAGACGCATTTAGGTAGATCGGGGGTGCATTCCCTTCAAAAACAAACTTAGTCCACTGCGTCTTCAGCGGCTCAGATGTCGGGAGTAAATGACAACTGCTGTTCATTCTTACATCAAACGACAGAACACCTCAATCACTTAGGAGTCATTCTTGTCTACATCTGCTCCGGCGGTGAAACAATGGCGGACTGATGACAGCTCACTCAGGGCGGGTCTAAGGTAAGATGCCAGTCCAGTCTGTGCTGAAACACTACTGTCAATCAAACTGTCGTGGGAGGGGCCTGTTTTTGTGACGTCACACAGACAGGCATCTGAGATTGGCTCGATTTGAGAAAGGGTTCTACTAAAAAAATGTTAGTAGATTAAAAAAAAAACACTGGGTGGATTTTTATCATTATAGGGTGGTTGTGTACACACACTGCCAACACATATTTCAGTTCAAACAACTTGTAAAAGTGCATGTAGCATCCGATGAGCCCTTTAACATTAATAATTTGAGAATAAAGTATAATAATAATAATAATTTGCATGGTTTTATGTGATATGAGCTAACCGAACTTTAGATTAAATCGCCATTGGTAGCGTGATTTATTGTAATGCTTTTTCCCTCAGTTGGTCAGAACAAACGTGGAAGACTTGTTACTTACTTTTTCAGATGACAATATCCGGTGAAAATTCTTATTTGGGTCATATATTCCAAGACGTAGGCTAGAATCTGTGATTGCGAAGTACAGTAAATATCCACATACTCCTCAAAACATTAGGGTGTTTTCAGACCTGTAGATTGTTTGCTTTGTTCCGAAACAGGGACTTAATTTGTTACGGTGTTGCATTTTCTTCTTGGTTCGGTTTGCATTCACAAGGCAACACTGCAAAGCGTACCAAACTGTGTTTATGCATGTCACATGTGAGTAAAGATGTCCTCTTATTGGTCAGAGTTCACCTGTTTACGTTCCTCTGCGTCATTCATCAGATGGATTGACAAATTCGCTCCGCGGGCTTATTGTGGCTTTATAGCTGTCCTGGCATACGCAAACACTTATGAAGGTAGCCGTTACTCCTGCTTTCAGTAAGTTAACCGCTGACTAACCTCAACATTAACAACAGCATTGAAATAAGAGCGCATGCTTTTTTACGTGCATCTGACTGACACTCCCGCTCTAATATATATATAATTATATTTAATGTTACAGCCAACGGAAAACAAGGCTTTGTCCGGACAGCATTCTTGTAATGCGCGGAGAAGAGCAATTTCACAACGTTTTAATATGAAGAGCTGCTCTTTGGTTTTCAACTGCAATAACAAATATCCTCACTCACAGAATCAGACACTGACTGCTGCTTTTTATATAGCATATTTCCCATTATGAATTATGATACCACTTGGTTCGTTGGTCCGTTGGGTCGGATTGCATGAGCGAACCGCTCCAGAGTCTGTTTGCAATCGGGCCGAGACCACCTCTTCAAGGAGGTCTCGGTACTCTTGTTTGGTCTGCTTTTGGTGCGCACCCGAGTGCGATTGCTGCATTCACACCTGTCCAAACAAATCACACCAAGAGGGACAACAAACTCTAGTGTGATTCAACCAAACTAAATGAGGCAGGTGTGAAAGCACCCTTAGATTCATCCACACTGGAGCCGTGCCAGAGCACAACCCACGCAAGGAAGATAATTCTGCAAAACAGCTGCAATTGCAGGTTTTCAAACAGAGATGGCGACAAAGATGCAAAACTTACGGTCTGCAGCTTTAAACTAGACTAACCATACTCATCGCCAATGTCATCAATTTGAACAAATCTACGAATCATTAACTACTAACAA